TGAGGTTGAGCCCCAGGGTTTCATTACCGGACTTTCTTCCTCTGTTAAATGGGTCGGTGTCTATAGGAAGATGATGACATCTCTCTGGTTCTTTCAGTTGTGATAATTGTCTAAGATCATTCGAGCCCAAATAAGGGCCAAAGCCTGAACTAATCAACCAGAAGAAGCACCCTGACATGACAGGCTGCTCTGCTGTCTGAGTAAGCCCAAATTCTCCTTCCTGTGCCATTAATTACAGCACTGGATGAGGCTGACCGGGAGCATTCTTCTGTTTGTGACCACTAAGGACTGGATGCCTGGGACTGCAGACTGTCTTGATTAATGGGACTTTTCTTTTCTTGGCATTTTGTGGACATATGCTACATAAGGGAAACACAGATATCCTGGGACTGTAACTTGAACTGACACTTTGACACTTTTCTTATTTTATTGTATTTACAACCTAATCAATTAAGAAAATTCCTTTCTCATGCTATGGGTAAACACATATGGAGACCATAAATCTGAGTGACACACACATCCTGAGTCAGGATTGCTCTAAATGTACAAAATGTTTTCTCATTATGCTTATCTCTCAGTCAGAATTATTCTCTGGCTCCCATGTATTAATGAATCCTGCCAGCTTAAGTGAATAAACACTGTAAACATCTATGAACTAAACTGTTTGCCTCTTCTAACCAAACTTGCAGGTGGACAGTATGGTGCCATGACTTGGATGGAAATGATGGAGTAGGAGAAACAACACTCTACCCTGACAATGCTATTCACTGAAATGCCTCAGGATCCATATTTTTTCTGTAGTCTTAACTTATTGGGGTTGGGTCAGTTTCCCTGTTCCCAGCTTCCACTGGACTCCCACTAGTTTTGTTGAAGTCGGCAATTTCCTTTAAGCTAGCTTTGGGAGATGGGACTAAGTAGAGGTGAATCACTCTGCATTGTGTAGGTCCATTTGAGTTAAGGATCGATCTAGCAACATTAGTTCTGAGTCAATCAGAAACTAAAACTCGAAATCTGGCTGACAAGACCACGGCCTCTTACATGTCAAGCCATTACCAATCTGATGGTCAAAAATATTGCCAGCACTGATGTCAGTTGCCTAAAGATAGCCTCAAATTATATTGGCCATGACGGGGCTCTTTTGACTAGTCAAAGGTACTTTATCTTAAAATTAAATTAGGGTTAAAGGCCAAGGTAACATCTAGCCAGGAATGAGAATATTTTCATTTTGGTTTGCTGAGATGGTGGATTGAGAATGAAAGGCAGACACCTCTCCCCTTAAGGCTCATGAAACCACTTCAGTATTGCCACCCCTCTCCCTTGCACCAACTAATTCCCTCTACTCCACCCTCCCCTCTTGCCCAATGGCCCCATCCCATCTTTCTCCTCTAGACATTGCTCCTCCAACACCCTATTCCTTGCCTCCTCCCTCCCTTCTTTCCCTTATGTGTTACCTGAAGTTTATAGCAGACCTTGCCTCCCAGCTTGTTCAGACCCTAGCAGTACAGGCTGAGGAGGCCCTTACAGCAAAAAGGGAGTTTCTAACTAAAAAAGATGAGGCTTATAATCCACACCCCACCTCTAATGTGGTGAGGGACAGCAAACCTGGTAATTATCACTCTTGCAAGAAATTGGGTATTGGAAATCTGAATGTAGGACCCATCTCAAGGTTATGAAAAATCAGAAACTCCAGGGAAGCCAAGATTTCCTTACTCCCCAAAATGACTGTAGAGGCAATCAGAGAAAGGGTTGCAGGATCTGATCCACATCTACTCCTCTCTATTATAGTCAAATTTCAGACTTCCCAGGTCAAGCAGCCAGAAAGAAACAATTCAAGTATGGTGGAACACAATCAGGATAACACCAGATTTAGCAGTTTCTACATTAAGGGACTGGAGGGCTTGGAATATGATATCCCAGAGGCCAAAGGAACTAGGATTAAAACCACAAATCACATACCCAGCAAAACTGAGTACAATTATTCAGGGGGAAAATGGACATTCAATGAGATAGAGTACTTCCAGCAATCTAGATGAAAAGATTAGAGCTGAATAGAAAATTTGACTTTCAAATACAAGACTCAGGAGAAGCATGAAAAGGGAAAGAGGAAAGAAAAGTCATAAGGGACTTATTAAAGTTGAATTGTTTACATTCCTACACAGGAAGATGGTATTTGTAACGCATGAAAACTTTTGGTAGTAGGAGGGAATAAATACATACATAGAGAGCAGAGAGTGAGTTAAATATGAAAGGATCATATAGCAAAAATAAAATTAAAGGGTGAGAGAGGATTGTACTACGAGAAGGAGAAAGAGAGGGGAAGATTGGGGTAAATTATTTCACATAAAAGAGGTAAGAAAAAGCTTTTAGAGTGAAGGGGAAGAAAGGGGAGGTGAGAGGGAATGAGAATCTTACTGTCAGCAGATTTGACTTAAGAAGGGAATAACAGGCACACACAACTGGGTATGGAAATTTATCTTAAACTACAGGAAATGGGGGGAAGGGAATAAGAGGTTGGGAATGATAGAGGGGAGGGCAGGTTGAGGGCAGGGATAATTAGAAGCCTTGTAGGCAGTGCCACCACACCTCTGCATTCCTTCCCCTAAGGAGGGGCAGACCACTTAAGGACCTACTCAACTCTGGCTCGCAGATTACTGCAAAGCAAGAGGCTCGACCACTGATTTGGAGATATTGCCAGGTACTATCACCTCCCAGCCCCCCAAGTCCACGCCTCCCACAAGCTGAACTTCGAGCTCCATCCTGCCACCCTGAAGATAGAGCCTCTTCCTACTCCTCCCTTGCCCTCTCCCCCCCCCCCGCCTTTATACCCGCCCCTGCAAAATCCTCAAATTAGCACAGAGGTCCTTGAAGCAGCAGGTGCAAAACGTGCTCCACAAAAAGAAGCAGAGCCATCCATTTGACTATGCACTTGAAAGCATGGTTTGGTTCACCAAAAAGTAAGAAAAGAAGATTTGGATCGATTGATTGAAGAAACCTGGTTATTTTCTTCAGGGAAACTCAGAAACACTCCAAAGAGACCTAAAAGGGAAAGCGCTTAGCCTCCCTCCCGCTGGAGACACCTGGGGTGAACAGCGAAAGAGATTATGGGCAGCCAGAGAATCGCCATGGGAAACAATGCCTTGATGGTCAAGGCTGGCTTGGGGCCCATCAGGGGCCAGAGATTCTGAAAAGAGTGGCTGGGACGTCCTCCTTGCCTGTGCTAGCTCGCCACCCCCACCCCCACCTCTCCCGGACCAAGTTGGCCAGGGACGGCGAGGGAGGTAATTCTCCGAGCCCAGCCTCCCTTAGGAAGAGCGGGCAGGTGGCCTGCTAAGAGCGGATGGCTCGAGCGGCCCGCCTCTGGCCAAAAGATTCCGTAGCCGAGGGCCAGCTCGTTTTTCTCCACCTAGGTCCAAGAGCGCCCCTAAACCCATCTAAGTGGCCAGCGTCAGAAAGGTGAGCCTTCCTCACTGGGCACTTGGGAGGACTGGGCCAGAACCCCAGCAGCAAGAAAGGACCACCTCTCTCCGCCTGGGAGGACTGCCTTGGCTACTCGATGAGCGCATCGATTGATGCTAAGTCTTAAGATCCACGTTTGGTAGACTGGCTGGCTATGAGGGAATTGCGTGCTCGGTCCACCTTAATTGCTCCAGGTGCCAGAAGATTTCTCTAACTCCCGAGGTGGGGGAGGCTCAATTGGAAAGTACTGAAGCGCCTTCTGACTGGGACTGAAAGGAGCAGCATCCCGGTTACACAAGAAAGGCACAGATTGCCTCACGACTCAGTACTTTCCCCAGAGTCTCGGGCTGAACTCCGCCCTGGGTCCTGGGCGACGTGATAAAACCTTCAGCCAGAATGGGGCAGAACTTTGAAAGTCAGGGCATGTGCTTGCAATCCTTCTGGGGCCTCCGTGTCTGCAGGTCCACCTGCTGAATGTCCAGGACCCGGGGATCCGGGCCTTTTCTCTCCATCTTTCTATACAAAGCCTGGACAGCCAGACTGCTTACTGGCCGAAAGGTTTGGGGGCTTTTGTGAGTTTGGCCAAGCGACCAGGCTCCATTTCGCTGCACTGGAGCACATGACAGCCGCGCTTTGCAGACTACATGCTCCATACATTCGTTTCTTCAGTGGAATTTTATCCCACTCCCTCCGCCCCCACTGCCCCCCACTTCATGGAAGAACACATTTTAAGACACACCGTTTTGGGTCAGTTTTCAGAGGCAAGTTTTATTTCTCCCCGACTCCCTGCCTCCCTCTGACGCTGCACTTCCTCCCCCCCCAGTCCCCCTTTCTCCCCACCGCATCCCGGTGTCCGCCGAGCCAGGTTTGACCCGGTCAGCAGTCTGACAGGGGAAATAGGTGCCCAGTCATGGGAAGCTCTTCCCCCTTGGGTCATTTTGAGAAAGAGAAGTGGAATTAGCGACGCGAAGCACGTGCAAAATCATCTGCTTCCATCTGTATTCAGACGTCACCTGACGCCCTTCTAGAGCAGGACAGCATCTTTACTGTCTTGGCACCGTTGTCTTGCTGAGAAGAGCTCAGTGGCTGACGGGTCTCGGTGGTACGGTATGGCTGCTGCCCGGTGCCGAGTCCGTGAAGGTCTTTCCCGGTTGCACGGGAAAGCATGCGGTTCTTCCCTCCATCGAACAGCGTCACGCTCCATTCCCATTCTCGGGCGCTTGGCGTTGAGACATTCCTCCCCCCTCCCCCCCCGCCCACTTGCTGGGCAGGTCCTTCATTTCCCCTGCCGATCCAGCAGAGGAAGAGCTGCTGTGAACAGTGCTGTGCCCATGGGCTCCTTTGCCTTTTCTGGGCTCTCTTTGGTATGCGGAGCTAGTCGTGGTGCGGCCCGATGCCAGGGCCTGCAGATTTCGATGGTCGGAGTTCCATAAGGCTCTGCCGAGTGTTTGGAGCAGGTCACGAGCGCAGCAAGAGAATGCAGGGTCTTCTTCGGGTGTTGGGCGGGGTGGGGGGGGGAATGGGGCGTGCTGATGAATTTCTTTCTAGTTGTTCAGAAGTCGTTGGGCCATGGAGCCCGCGCCAGTTCTGGAGGACATGCCTTGCGTCAGGGCATGCAGCGTCTTTGGGTCGGCTCCAGGCCCTGCATCCAGCAAGTGAGCAAACCACTTGTTGTATTTCTTCCTCTCGTTTCGGAACCAGTTTCGCACCTGGCTAGCGGAGAGGCCCAGCTGAGCCGCCAGGGCTTCTACCTCATCGGCCGAGACGTTTCTATTGGCCTTGAAGCGGGCGGTCAAGGCTCGGCGTTGGTAAGGCGAAAAGCGGACCCACGGCCTCCGCTTGCTGTTGGCCGGCCCGCCAGCATCGCTTCTGCCTTCGACCTCTTCAGCAGCGGCAGGCAGCGGAGCGGGCAGTGCAGCCGGCGCGGCAGCGTCCCTGGCGGGCAGTGGCTCGGAGGTCTGCATCTCGGTGGTGACCGAGGATGGGCCTTGCTCCAGGGGGGCGAAAGGGCCGCTGCTGCCTGCCTCGTCCTCTGCGACTTGCTGTCCTGGCCAGCCCTCCAGCAGGTCATCCAGCAGTGACACAAAGTCGTCAGAAGACAGAGGACAATCGCCTTGGCCCTCAGGGAGGCCTACCGAAGACGTCTCCACGGCAGTTCCAGGGGCTTCTGCCCCCTGCCTCTTGGTCTCCTCCTGGGAAGCTGTCGAACTGAGCTGCTGAAGAAATTCTTCCAGAGCCCGGTTCAGGTCCGTGAAATCTGTGACGGCGAGGTTGGGAGACAGCGCCATGTCTCTGGGCTGCAGCTGAGTGCTAACACCAGGACCTTTCACGAAGCCTTGGCTCCCCCTCGCTCCCCCGAATGGGGATCTTCCCGGACACCCGCCAAAGATCAGGACTCCTTTGGGTGCTTGGGAAGTTGCCGTGCAGGAAATGGTCGCGCAGCCTTGGCTCGGATGAATGAGGCAAAGTCGGGGAAGAGAGCGTTCAGAAGATGGGATGCAGCTCGCCCAGGCGGGAAGCGTTGGCCAGCTCCGATCTCCGCGACAGCCGTGGCCTTCTGACCAGAGACTGGCGTGGGCCGCTTCCATATATAACGGCCAGGAGCCTGGGATTGGAAGGCCTCACCGGGAAGGTGCTGCCCCACCTCTGCATTCATTCCCCTAGGGAGGGGCAGACCACTTAAGCACCTACTCAGCTCCGGCCCTCCGAGACGCCAGTAAAGCCAGAGGCTTGACCCTTGATTTCGAGACATTGCCAAGGACTCCCGCCTCCCAGCCGCCCACGTGCACTCCTCCCCGCGAGCAGAACCTCAAGCTCCATCCTGCCACCCTGAAGGTAAAGAGTATCTTCCAACCGCTCCCCCTGCCCTCTCGCAGCGGCCACCCCCACCCCCACCCCCACTCCCGCCCCCGCCAAATCGCTCAATGAGCACCGGGGGTCCTTGAAGCAACGGTTGCGAAACGTGCTCCACAAAAAGAAGCAGAGCCATTCATTTCATTGTGCACCTGAAGTCATCGTCTGGTTCGCCGAAAAGAAAGAAAAGAAGAAATGGATCGATTGAATGAAGACACCCCGACGTTCTTGTTGTGGAAAACTCAGAAGCACTCCAAAGAGACCTAAAAGGGAAAGCGCTTAGCAGCCCCGCCCGCGGCAGACAGCTGGAGTGAAGAGCCGCACAGGCACAGAGAGTCGCCGCGGGAAACGCCGCCTCGGTGGGCAACGGCTGCCCTTGGGCCCCATCCCTTGGCCAGAGGTTCTGAGAAGAGTCTCCGGGACGTCCTCCTTGCCTGTGCTAGCTCGCCACCCCCACCCCCACCTCTCCCGGACCAAGTTGGCCAGGGACGGCGAGGGAGGTAATTCTCCGAGCCCAGCCTCCCTTAGGAAGAGCGGGCAGGTGGCCTGCTAAGAGCGGATGGCTCGAGCGGCCCGCCTCTGGCCAAAAGATTCCGTAGCCGAGGGCCAGCTCGTTTTTCTCCACCTAGGTCCAAGAGCGCCCCTAAACCCATCTAAGTGGCCAGCGTCAGAAAGGTGAGCCTTCCTCACTGGGCACTTGGGAGGACTGGGCCAGAACCCCCAGCAGCAAGAAAGGACCACCTCTCTCCGCCTGGGAGGACTGCCTTGGCTACTCGATGAGCGCATCGATTGATGCTAAGTCTTAAGGATCCACGTTTGGTAGACTGGCTGGCTATGAGGGAATTGCGTGCTCGGTCCACCTTAATTGCTCCAGGTGCCAGAAGATTTCTCCTAACTCCCGAGGTGGGGGAGGCTCAATTGGAAAGTACTGAAGCGCCTTCTGACTGGGACTGAAAGGAGCAGCATCCCGGTTACACAAGAAAGGCACAGATTGCCTCACGACTCAGTACTTTCCCCAGAGTCTCGGGCTGAACTCCGCCCTGGGTCCTGGGCGACGTGATAAAACCTTCAGCCAGAATGGGGCAGAACTTTGAAAGTCAGGGCATGTGCTTGCAATCCTTCTGGGGCCTCCGTGTCTGCAGGTCCACCTGCTGAATGTCTAGGACGCTGGGATCCGGGCCTTTTCTCTCCATCTTTCTATACAAAGCCTGGACAGCCAGACTGCTTACTGGCCGAAAGGTTTGGGGGCTTTTGTGAGTTTGGCCAAGCGACCAGGCTCCATTTCGCTGCACTGGAGCACATGACAGCCGCGCTTTGCAGACTACATGCTCCATACATTCGTTTCTTCAGTGGAATTTTATCCCACTCCCTCCGCCCCCACTGCCCCCCACTTCATGGAAGAACACATTTTAAGACACACCGTTTTGGGTCAGTTACCTCTTGTTGTCCAGAAAAATAATTTCAAGGATGACGTGAGTATTAAAAAAGAGAATATAGTTTTATTTATTGTGAGCATAGACTACCAACTTTTTGAGTCCCTGCAACCTAGAATAAAGTTACTGCTAGTGTACTTTAAAAGGAAATGGAATCGTAGAAAGAAGCAGTTTAGCCGCCATATGGAAACAGTCAAGGTGAGAGCAAGTTTGTCAGGCAGAGAAAGGATTAAGAAAATTTTCCTGAGAGACTGAGTAACTGAGCAACTTAAGTAATTTGAGAACCAAATTTCCATCAGTCTGTGAAGATATCTTCTGGAGAATTTTCGAGAGACTTTAGTATCTGGAAAGGGCTGACTGGTGGGAATGTTTCCATAATTGTGAAAAAAAAAATTCCACAGCTTCCATTAATGGTTAGAGGTGATTTAATCCAGCATCTTTACCACCACAGATAACCTATTGAACTCTTTCTTTATATTCTTTGTTACACTCCTAATAATATATATAGTCAATAGAATTTGTGTTTTTCTAAGCTTATGATTCGAGGTATTGAAAGTGATCATTAAAAACTATGGGAAAAGAAGTTTCTCCAGACTCATTTATCAACTGAGATGAGTATTCAGAGTTAATTAACTGGTTAATGAGAAACTGTGCATCAATAATAATTTCTGAGGAATTGTCATAACATACCCCTGATTGCTTAAGAGCTCAGAATGAAAATTAATGAGAAAATAACTCATTTCCAGGTATAATGGTTATGAGGCCTGGTCATTGGCTTGTTTGTCAACCAGTGTGGGACATTTTATAGCCTAACCAGTCCTACTTAGGGTAAGGATTAATAGTTTTTCAATATTTGTAACTCCCACAAAGTGGAATAAGATGACTTTGGAGACGATAGGTTACCCCATGATTGGTAGCAAACTACATCAATAACAACTAGATGGTACCAAGTCCTTTCCAACTCCAAAACTCTGTAAAAAACAGTAATTATGAAATTCACATGCAAACTGACAAGTATTGGAAGTTAACAATGTATTTTTGAAAACCATATAATCAGAGAATTTGTGAGTTGGAAAAGACTTCATTATTCATCTTGCCCCACGTTTGCCCAAAATACATCTTCTTTACACTATAGCTAAAAAGTGACTACTATTCAATCTTACCTGCCATGAATGAGGCACTGAATATCCTTCATATACCGTTGATCCTTGTCTCATAAACATCTCATGGACAGCCCAAGCCACAGCATAGATAGTTGTTGCCCGCAACCAGATTGTACACCGAACGGAGAGGCGTGAAATAACTTATAACATGGGCCAGGCGGAGTAGAATTACTGACTCAGTTTATTCATCTGAGGGCACAGAATATATAGGGAAGATCTAACCTAACTTCAAAGAGTCCTCCCCGTGAGATACTCCCCAGAACATCTGCTGAGGATGTAACAATCATGAATTTCCTCTTTATCAGGGTTCCTAGATTGGGCTGTAGATTCCAAGGTTTTCCCAGGCACCTTGGCACCACCTGCATAGGGGAGTAAATATGTAAATCTAAGATTCAAAGAGAGAGAAGGAATATCTCAGAGACCTCAAAATTAGGAAGGAAGTGGGGAGCCATACCACTTAATCAGCGAGCCATCATCAGACTCTTAAGATCGGCCCTCAACAGATAGCATTGTAGATGATGTAACTGAATCCAGGTATAGTCATATAAAAAATGTCCAGAGGCAGTGTCTTCAAGGAAGCATTTGGCGGACATATCTCTTTCTCTGGATTTTCTGGTTGATATGGGCACCTAAAAGCTGAGAGCCAGAATCCCCTAAGTGAAATGTCATCTGGGTATTCAGAAGGTGTAATTCTCTTAAGAAAAGTCTTGAACCAAGGACTTTCATTCAAGTATGAAAATGTGAGAGCCCTGTGGAAAGGAAGACCATAATAATCGAAGGGTCTCATGGTAATGTCCCAGTGAGATGTGGCAATCCACACTGTAGAGGGCCAGCTTTGGGGAGCTGGAGGGCTTAGGGCAGCCCGGGTCTTACCTGCAGATTGTACTAAGCCTGGCAGCTGTGAATCTCAGGATGTCAGCTCACCACCCCCTTGTTCCGTCTCTTGAGAACAGGATGCAGGAAGGGAGGAAACAGATGGGGTACAGGACAGGATGCAGGAAAGAATGTAACAGACAAGGTACAAGAAAGTAAGGAAATCACTTAATTAGATTTGTACTTTTCATGAATAATAATGTTACTGTTGCTTGAGCTATATAAGCCTGAGCCCTCAGATCAATAAACAGAGTTTGTTCTTCACTGCTCTCACCTGGCCCGTGATTCTTTCTCTCTTCACACTCTGCCGGCATCAGACCACAGCTGGGGACGCAGGATCCCGGCATTTGGCTCCCGAACAGGGACCTGAAAGGAAGGCTTCCCCCGGCAGAGTGGCCCTGGACAAGGTGGGCTGTTTGGCCAACAGCCCTAGAAAAGGAGCTCCGGTTGTCAAGAGAAGATGCTAAGAAGGTAGAGTGATAATTTTCCTATACAGTTTTTTATTTTCACCAGGTTAAGCAGGGATTAAAAAGAAACCAGACTGCAGCTTATCGGGGTCTCTTAAAGTGAAAGTGAACATCAGAACGAGATTGCGGCTTATCGGGGTCTCTTAAAGTGAAAGTGAACATCAGAACGAGACTGCAGCTTATCGGGGTCTCTTAAAGTGAAAGTGACAGAAGAGACTGAAGCTTATTGGGGTCTCTTAAAGTGAAAGTGAACTCAGAACAGACTGCGCTTCGGCTGATTTAAAGGGAAAGCAAACCGCACCGGCTAAGTAGCATCCTATAAAAGAGTTAGCTAATATGGGGCAGAGCTACTCGGCAGAACAGAAAGACAGAGGATATTATTTGAAAATGTTCGAATCATTAGTAAGAGACAGGGGATTGTTGATTGCTTCTGGACAGCTGGCTGAATTTTTCGACACAATGGAAAAATGCTGTCCTTGGTTTCCCAAAGAAGGGACAG